GCTCCCAGGGCAGAAGGATGTGAGATAAGAAATGGGAGGGGAACTGTGGAGAGCTATAATGGCTCCAAGCACCTGACAGCCTCCTTTCAGATCCTCAGGGTCTGGGAACTGAGCCCATCATGAAGAATAAGGAGCAGCTTCCCTGGGTGATGTGACCTCCCAGGGGCACATTTGTCAGGATCCACTAAGGTCTTGATCCATACCCATGGGAGGCTGGTGGAGATATAACCACCAGAGGACAGCAGCTGCAACAGTCAGAAGAATGACTGGGTGACAATAGGTGCAGGGACACCAGCTGTGTGAGCAGGACTGTTGCCCTTCTGGAATGCAAAACTGAGAATATGCAGCCTTGGGGAGCGAGGGTGGATGGTGAAACTACCCAAAACTGACTCAGAATTCCTGGCCTTGCTCCTAAGTGTTCAACAGCCTTAGCTTCTCAGACAGGCTGCTGAGGTCTGAGGAGATATGAAGTGTTATGTCTCCTTCAAGCCTAGAATTCTCCCCTCCCCATTCCACAATACAGGGTACTTGAGCCCACACAGGAGCCCCTCCCTTGTTCTGTTCTCTGCCCTGACCCTGACTTTTGTTTTCCAGCGTGGAATGTGGGAGGCTGGGCCTAGGAAGACTTAACCAGACCATATCAGGAGAGGATCTGCTGACAAAGCTGTGGAGATGCCAGCAGATAGACCCGCCTCAGACCTGTCCCACCCAGGGAAGAAGCTTAGGGCAGCCTCAGAATAACCCATAGAACCTACCCAGAGTCCTGGTTAACTTACCTACTGGTATCTCATGTACTCGGATGTCCCAAGCACAACGGATGAACTTCATACCGATGGGAAACACCTGAAAGTTCGCATAGGCCCTTGCCTGGTTCAGAAGCTGAGGGTGTGGCCAGAGCTAGCTACCAGAAGTGGTGTAGAGCAACAGAGATAGACAAGACTAGGGACAAGTCACCCTTCTCCCCTCCCACCAGCTGCTTCATCTGCCTTGAAGCCAACTGGAGCTTCCAGGCAGGGTTGTGGACCCTAAACAAGCATAGAGGTCAATCGTGGAGAAGTGATGGGGCCAGTATGACTGAACTAGCTTTGGAAAGACTGAGTCTTCAGTTCACTCCTTGACCCTCCATAATTCACTCTTGGCTGGAACACATCAGAATGTACAAATCAAACCTCTGAGGTCCTCTACTTCTCTCTAAGGGGTTAGATGGGTGTTGGAAAAATGAGCACACAATGACCAATCTGCAGCTGCTGGAAGCTGGGGAGCCCTGAGAAGCATGAGGAAGTGTGGAGGGAGGCTGGCTACAAGGGGAGCCTGCATGGGCTCTGGACTTCTGATGGACCATGAAGGTTGTTGCAAAGGTCCTGTGGCCTTGAGCATGACTAGAGGGTTAGATGGGGCCAGATAGTTGGGGAGCACAGCGCAGCAGGCTTGGTGTTCAGGCTGGGGTCACAGGTCCTGGGAGGTCCCTTAAGGCTTATCTCTATGGGAAGGGATCCCTGAGGGCTCTGAGAGGTCTTTAGCTGGGATAAAAGACCTTGTATCACTGTGTTGAGGAGACAGAGGCCCACCAGGTAGCAGTGGTGGCACAGAGGAGATGAGACCTGATAACAGACTTCCTTGGCAGGGTTCACTGAAGGCCACACACATGAGACAAGGTCCCCCAAGAAGCAGAACCAACAGGAATGTGTAGTATGTACATTTATTATCAAGGTTTGGCTCCACAACTAGCAAGCTGGAGGGCAGGAAGGCTGGGGTACAAGGTCCAGCTGATGCTGAAGGCAGGGGAAGTCCTACCAGACAGCAGGTGAGGAGCAAGCTTGCACTTGTGCACCTTGCATTCCCTGCAGGCCCTGGATGGAACCCATGAGCTCCCTCTCCCAGCCTCGGAGGCATTTCCTACATGAGGCCAGCTGAGTGAATATTTGTTTCATCCAGAAACACCCTCAGACACTCTCAGAACAGTGTGTGAGTCAGCTGTCGGGCGACCTGAGACCCCTGAGACTCTTACATAAAATTAATGGTCCCATGACAGAGAGGAGACACATTGGTCATCATGAAGGTCTGCTGGAGCTGGCAGGGGGCAGGGCGGCAGGGCACAATAACACAAGAAGGAGGCATGGAGTGAGTTTAAAATGCACCACACCTTCAGCTGGTGTGCTCATAAAGTAGCTAGACTGGGAAGCAGGGGACCTCTGGGGGTATTCTGGAAAGCAGGGCAGTTGTCAGGGCAGACATGGGTTTCTGGGCTCTGAGACAGGCAAGGTCACCCAGGTAGTCAGTGTGCCTGCCGTCCATTTTTCAGAGGCAGCAGCAGGCAGGGGGAGGTGGGTCCTCGGGCACAGTCTCAGGGGAGGAGCATGGCAGAGTTGCCTACAAAGGATCAGAGAGCCAGCCAGTGAAAACATTAGGCGACTGTGAGGAACTACTCTGCCTCTGGAGGTGACAGGGGTAGGTTCTTAGTGTGTTCATAGAAGCCTAGTGAAGGGATTCAAAGTCAAGAGCTAGGGTAGGGAGTCCACAGTAAGCATCAGATAGTTTTCAGTATTCTAGCACACACTGTGTGGATTCTGAGGGTGAGAGTCACTGGAAGGGTCCAGGTGATGCTGGGATGCTGACCCTGGAGCCACTTGAGAGCTTGAAACATAGGGACCCCTGTGGGTGGTAGAGAAGAGGTCCTCCAAGGCTTGTGATCAAAGTGGTGCCCATGACAGCTGGAAGAAGGTCCGGCTGAAAAGTAGCAGGCTGCAATGGTTTGGCCAAGGAAGCCTTTAAAGTGAAGGAGGCAGAAGGGCTGAGAATCCACAGGACATGAGGGCAAGAGCTGCATTCAGCGGGCAGAAGTCCTGAGCACAGTGGTAAGCCAAGGAAGCCTTTAAAGTGAAGGAGGCAGAAGGGCTGAGAATCCACAGGACGTGAGGGCAAGAGCTGCATTCAGCGGGCAGAAGTCCTGAGCACAGTGGTAAACTGTGGCAAATTGCTCCTATGGCCCCATTAGAGTGAAGAACCAAGAAAGGGGCTGAAGGGCACTGCAGAAGGTCTGTGGGAGGAGCCTGCCTGGCCAGGGACCAGGATAATTTTCTGTTTCAAAATCAAGAGTCATGATATGGTGGGGCTGGAGGGGGCATAGGGAGCAAGATCTATGTGGGGATCCCCAGGGACTGTCCTGTGAAGAACCAGGGAATTTAGTCTGAAGACATGGATCCAAGTGTAGGGTCAGAAGAGAGAGGGGAGGGATGAAGGACAGAACCCAGCCCTCCTTCCTCCAGGTCAGGCTCCAAGACATGGAGGGAGAAGGAGCAGTTCTGCCTCACAAGTCAGTCAGCAAGTTCCCTCAGCACACAGTAATTGCTCAACTAACATGAGCTTTTGGGATTGGGAATACCTCTAGAGACAGAGGCAGTGTGCCTATCTTAGAGGCCTGAGGCCATCTGTCAACAGAAGGATGTTGGTCTGTCTGTCGTGCTGAAGGCAGACTAGGAGAGAACACCTGTGTGCTGCCCAGGCGGTCACCACAAGCTTAGGGCAGGTAGTTCCTGAACACAGGTTCCTGCGTCTCCTCTCTTCTCCACCACATTCCTTTGTCCCATCAGAGTCGCTCATGAAACATATCAAAGATAGAAGGAAGACTCTCAAGGTTGTGGCAGAACTTTAAGGCAGCTGTGGGCTTTCTGGGATATGCATGGGATGCTTCCCAGTGCTTCTGACCTTGAGCACTGCCATCTCCATCCAACAGGCCTGGTGGCCCTTCCCCCCAGGGGTCCTCACTCAAGTAGGCCGTGAGCTTCCTGAAAGCTAATGGTGACTGGCACTGGAGTTCTAGTCCTAGTCCTGGTGCCATTTGCTGATGGCCATGTATGAGATGCCCTTGATTTAACAGCATGCTAAGATTTTTTTCTCTGTGGGGACATCAGAAAGATCATTTGACTCCCATGGGTACCAGCAGGAACAAGGAGAGATCTCCTCACCCTTCCCTAGACCCATGGTCCTGTGTCCTTCCAATTCCTAACTGTGCAGGGAGACTAAGCTCAAGGCAAAAGTGGGACACTTGGGGATTTCACCCACAAACCCTAAGTGAACCAAGATGCATCTGGGTATCCAGAGTCAGCAAGGACCCCAAGGCCACCCAAATGTGGGATAGAAGCCCAGACTAGCCCTTACTCTGAGCCCTCATTTCTTCCAGGTCAGGGGTTCTCATCAACCTCTTCTTCCTGCCATGGTTCACCATGTCCATGGAAGGACCCCAACTCCTGTAGCCATAAGAGTGGGGTTTCTGTTGATTTTTACCAGACTGCACTGTGAGGTGAGGGAGCGTTAACTGGCTCCAGGGGGAGAGCAGGATGTGGTCTATCCCTGTCTGTGTCCCACTCTTCCCTCCAGACCATTTCATTCAGGGTAGGAGGCTCCCAAGGCTCCACCACTGTGTCTCTTTCTGGGACCTGTGTTCTGACCACCTCATAGCATCACTGCCTAAATGAACTGTCCTCATCTAGAGACAGGGTGACTATATAGCTTCAGGAGGGAGCAGTCCCATGTACTTACACAGCCAGGACAGGGGATGGGCCAGAACAGGAGCAGGGGAACCTTTATGTTCCCACTGGGCCCCACTTGTGGGGTCAGGAACTGACCATGACTTTTCCTCCCACCTACCAGAGTCTGCCAGGGATGTTCCACCCCATGCCACCACAGAACCTCAAAGCCACAGTGAAGCCCATCCTCCAGCTTAGTCTGGGTCACTAGAGCCTCCCTTGATTTCGAAAGGCCTATAATTCTGCCAGAGGACATTCCAATCTAAGATTGCTTTTGATTTTCCTTGTAGCTGGGGATGTGGAAAATCAACCCACCCCATTTCAGATAAAGTGATCAGGACCCCAGACTCTCACCCCAGTCACTGCTGGTTCTTTCTCAGGTTGGGGGACAGATGTTCCAACTGGGCAGGCAATACAAGTCATTCTTGCTCCAGTAATGAGGAAAGTGATACAAGACTAGCAGATGGAGAGAAAGCATGTGGGTCCAAATCCCAGGGCCACCTCAGAACATTGAGCTCAGCAGGAGGGGCCCAAGAGCACACGCAAGCTCTGAGAGCCAGCAGCCCGGACTCCTCTTCCAGACTCCTCAGTCAGTTAACCTGAAGCTCAACTCAGTTAACCTGATGCCTAATTCAGTTAACTTGATGCCACAGATGAAGAAGAGCCCAGGTTACTGCCTGCGGCCCTAAAGGTTTGTCCCCCTACAAACTTTTTCACCCCAGAGACCCAGGACTGGCTTGATTCTCAGCATTACTGAGGGTATTCGTGCCTTTTGCAGACCAGGAGCAGCTGACATATGTAAGGCATTAGCCCTGTCTGCTCTTCTTGGCAAATTGTGGAGCCCCGGGGAGTTTCCCTTTTAAAGAAGTGGCCCTTCACAGTTGGAGAACTCAGGACCAGGCTGTCTGTCTCCCTGGGTTCCAGCCCCAGGACTGAAGCCTTACTGCACCTCCGAACTGCTCCTGGTGAGTGTTAGGGTGCTGGCAAGTAGAGCTAGGTGGTGGCCAGGCTATAATGAGGTCCAGAAAGTCCTGTCCTTTCCCTTCCTGTCTCTGGGTAGGAAATGTCTTATGAACAGGGCAGCCTCACAGTTAGTGGGCTCTGACCATACATGCTCAATGAGTGTCATCATGCAACACCATGAAGGCTGAGGGTCTGAAAGGCTGGGAGCTTTCAAGTGATGGACAGAGGAGGTCATTAGTCCTCATCAGAGAGACGAAAGAGTTTCTTTTGGGTTTCAGGATGGTGTGGGGAGGATGGGAGTAAATCTTAAAGCAGGACTTTTGGGAACAGGCCAGGGTTTGCAAAGCGAGGGTGATGTGTGAGGAAGATAAGCCTGTAGACAGGGGCTGTTCGGGACTCCTGGAGGTGTGCAGCACCCTGGGCAAGATGAGGAGAAATATGAAAAAGCCACCAAGGTGAGGACAGACTGGAGGTGCTGGGAGTGAGGGCTGTTATTCAGGGACTTGGTGGGCTGAGGTTCCATATGGCATGGACCCCAGGGAATAAGCTTGGGGGGCAGAGGTCGAGGTGAGGGCTTGGCTGTTGGACCTGGAAGGTTGCAGGATCTAGGGGTCTCCATCTACAGATATCAGCCTGGTATGCAGCTGGGAGACAGGCTGTGCTTCTGAGCCACTTGTGACCCACTGTACCCTCCAGGTAAGGGACAGAGATACAGGTCACTAGGACTCCAAACATGGGTCACCACTTCACGTGCAGCCTTCCTGGAAGTTTATCTGGGGCCCTGGTTGCCAGAGACCACAGGTGAGCATATGGACTTGAGGGTGTACTGCGAGCACCTGAGATCTAGGAACTGAGTGGTACCAGGAATGGCTCGGTATACACAGCCTGGAGCATGAGTGCATATGGCAGGGGTCCATATGCAGAGTGTGTGGCTTCCATGTCCCATGTGGAAAGAAGATAGGTTTATATCGGCATGTATGTGGATATCTATATGTATCTGCATATGTCTTGAGCTCTGAGTATATGTTTGCTTAATATGTATGAAAGACTCCACATGGGTATCTATAAATATGTCCCCACATCTGGGCCAGTAGTTTTGGGGTATATCCAGGTGTTTCTGTCTGTGATGATCTGTGCAAATGCTTGGGGCCTGGGAGGTGTAGACAAAGACTGACATTTAAATATGGATATGGGTGTCCACGCATCTGCTGTGGATAGCATTTATGAGGGAGTATATGTGAAACCTGTGTAGATACACAAGCATGCATGTGAGATGTGCCTGTGGTTTGCTGTGTAGAGGTGTCACCCAAGTGTATGTCGTTCAGATAGGTGTGTAACTGTCTCCATGCTTGGATGTGCTCTGTGGCTTGTGTTCACAAAGGACTGTGCAAATGCTTGGGGCCTGGGAGGTGTAGACAAAGACTGACATTTAAATATGGATATGGGTGTCCACGCATCTGCTGTGGATAGCATTTATGAGGGAGTATATGTGAAACCTGTGTAGATACACAAGCATGCATGTGAGATGTGCCTGTGGTTTGCTGTGTAGAGGTGTCACCCAAGTGTATGTCGTTCAGATAGGTGTGTAACTGTCTCCATGCTTGGATGTGCTCTGTGGCTTGTGTTCACAAAGGATATGGGTCATGGATCTGAGGTCTCCGTGCTGCTATGCAGTGTCTCTACTGCCCCACGACCGGCTGGTGGCGTGATCGGTGTGAAGCCAGTCCACTGGGGTCTCAAATGGCAAATTAAGCTTTCAGGCAGCTTCCTAAGGTCCCATGTCATGACATAGCTTGGTACAATGAACTGTGATGAGCTCTTGCTGGCGATTCTTTCCAGGTACTTCTGTGTGGGAACCTGGTAAGTCCAGGCCCATTGGAGAAACCCTGCTCAATATAATAGCACATGTTCTTGGCTGAGGAATGATTTGCTGGTCCACTATCTCCATGGCACCCTCTCTGGCTCTGGTTGGGATTTAATATCACTGTTCAGGTATTGTGTGTTTATTTGTACTGGATTCCTTTTGCTTTTGAAAAGTGAGCATGATATTCCAAGGAACAGCACTATCCCCTGTATCTGGAATAAGTCTACTATATGATTCAAGGCCAACTGTCAATTTTAAAACAGTTTGAGGCAAGGGTTGGGTGCAGATCTCTTTGGAAGTGACCACCAAGCAGGCAAGAAACAATGTCTGAGACAAGGGCATTGTGAGGTGTTCTCATATGCAGAATTCCATCCTGCCAATATCTCTGTCTGTAGGGTGGTCTTCTCAGGGTCCATAAAGGCATAAAATTTCCCACACCCTCTTATAGGAATGACTTTTATTAGCCCCAGCAAAACCAGGTGCTCTTGTGTCTTGTGACCTCAGCACCTGATCTTGTTTCCTAGGCTACCCCAATTTGGTACGCTACCCAAAAAGATAATGAATGTGAGCATGCTTGAGAATTAACATATCAAAGCACTAAAAGGTGGCACCCCATCTCCTTTAAACACAGTGGAGGTTGAGAAGGATTTGTGACCTTGGATTAATGTGAACTAGTCATGAACAAGGTAGTCTGTTAGGATTAAGGATGTGACTGAACCTGTACTTCCCCAGTGAGGCTGGAGAAACCATTGGGAATGAAAATTTGAGTGTGGTCTGGCCCATCAGCACAGTTCTGAGAGATATCTGGGGGGAAAACTGTCTGGCTTTAGGTCTACTCTTAAAAACTTATTTTAAGAACCAGGGTTTTATTTTGTTCAGGGTAATTGTAACATTGATGTAATTAATAAAGCCTGAACCTTTTGACCCATTGGTTGACAACTGCCATACAAGCAGGTAGAAGAGATGCCATCAGCCCAGACCATGGGTACAGGGAGATCCTCAAGGTTGTCAGGCTTCGTGTTTTACATGGGTAAACCTTCAAGGGTGACACATAGGAGCCACTGCTTTACCACAGCCCTGAAGGTCAGGAGCTGCACCCCTTTCACAGACAAGAAAGCCAAAGTCACTAAACAAGAAAATTAAACAAGTATTAGCTTTCTGCAGCTGAGTAACACCCCATACTTTATAGGTTGGTATATGGTAATCATCTGTGCTGAATAGCTTTAGTGTCAACTTGACACACCTGCGTTGAGGGTGCCTCAATCTGGGAATTGCCTCTATTGGACTGGCCTGTGGCCATGTCTGAAGGGCATCTTCTTGATGAGTGATGTGGGAGGGCCCAGCCCACTGTGGGTGATGCCACCCATGGACAGGTGGGCCTATGTTGCATAAGAAAGCAGGCTGAGCAGGAGCCAAGGGAGCAAGCCAGTAAGCAGAGTTCCTCCATGGCCTATGCTCCAGCTCCTGCTTCCAGGTTCCTGCCCTGAGTTCCTACCTTGGACTCCCTGATGAACTGCGACCCGGGAGTTGTAAGCTGAATAAACCCTTTCCTCCCCAAGTTGGTATTGGTCAGAGTGTTTTGTCACAGCAATGAAGAAACAAACTAGAACATCATCCATTATCTCTCAGGCCAGGAAGTCATCAGGGCCCAGCAAGGCTGGCTGGTTTCTGGCCCTCAGTGTCCAGAACTTTAGTCAAAAGACTTGAAAGTGGGATTTGGGTCACTTAAGGGCTTCTGTTTGTCAGCTGGGCCAACATGGGCCTCTCTATGTGGTGGGGCTTCCTCACATCAAGGCAGCTGGGTTTCCAGGGAAGTGTTCTGGGACACAGAGTCAGGTAGAGGCTGGTGTAAAACCACCAAGCCTGACAACCTGAGTTCAATCTCCAGAACCCACAAGGTAGAAAGAGAACCCATTTCTTTAAGTTGTCCTCTAACCTACACACACACACACACACACACACACACACACACACACACACACACACACAAATTTAAAAAGAAAAAAAAACAGAACCAAAAGACCCAAAGAAGCCACTTGGCATCTGGCCTGCTGCCTTCTATACATCAAGGCTGTTATCTGACCCCTCAGTGGAGCTGTGCCAATGTCACATGGTGACAAGAGCAGTAGAATGTGAGGCCTTGGCACAACCACGTAACCCATGAATCTGTCACAGCCAGGAAATCGAACCAAGGCTGTCTAACTCCACACCCGGTGCTCTGTGCCTACACCCATCTCTCCACTTCTTTCCTCACTGTGGTTCTGTAGCAGGAGATCAGGCTGAACATACCCCAGTGTCCTACACAGCTAGGTCCTGGCTCTTTATCTGAAGGAGCACCCAGGTCAGTCAAGAATGTGAGGGTGCAAGCAAGCATGCCATGCGTGAGACTCAGAAACAGTGGAAGAAATAGCAACAGAGAAAAGAGGCACAGCCAGGCATGACTCATGCCTGTCATCTCACCTCTCCGGAGGCTGAGGCAGGAGGCACACTGAGACTTCAAGGTCATCCTGGGCTACAGAATGAGATCCTGTTTCAAAAAAACAAATCAAGGGACTGGAGAGATGGCTCAGGCTAAAAGCACTGGTTGCTCTTGCAAGACTAGGGTTTGATGCCTAGCACCCACATGGTGGCTAACAGCTGTTCATAACTCCAGTTCCAGGAGATCCGACTCCCTCTTCTGACCTCCACAGGCATTGCATGACACAGGTGCACTTACATGCATGCAGGCAATACACTCATACACATAAAATAAAAAATAAATAAAATATATTTTAAAAAAGAAAAATATGCAATGCCAGAGACCAGAAAGGTCTGGTCAGCAGTCAAAGCAGCAAAACCATGTGCAATAAAAAGAATGTAACACACTGAGGGATAGAGAGGTGGGAAGGAAGAAAAACTAAAGCAAAGTTATCTCTGTAGGGAGTGTCTGCAAAGGCACTGTGGGGGAGGCTTGCCCCTCTGTAGGGAGTGTCTGTAAAGGGACTGTAGGGGAGGCTTGCCCCTCAGTGCAGACAAAGGCATCTCTAAGACACTGGAAATAGCTGTAATTGGAGTTGGTTCATAGTAGAATTCTGGGACAGTCTAGGATATTCTCTCTCTCCTCTCTCTCTCTCCCTTTCCCTTTCTCCCCCCACCCCCTTGTAACCTAGCCAAAGCAGGAGGGAAACATCAAAAGGCATCCTGAGACAGAAAAGTCTTAGAGAACCAGGATAGCTCTTTTCAAAATTGCTTCTGGCGCACTTAGCTTTAAGGACCCCATTGTTGTGGTCTGCCTCACTTGCTGCATTTAAACCTAAATTGAGAAGCCCACACAGCCCAGCCCACTTTGCTGTTGCTCCAGCTTTAAACACTTAGTAGGAAGGGACAGGGATTGCCAGCTGGTCATGTAATCCTGTCAATATAACAGAAAAAGGAGGCTGGAGGTCATTCAGTAAACCAAAGACAACAAAAGAAAACAGCGTTACTACAGACAAATGTGGCTTCCATAACCAGAGCAGAATGCCAAGGGAAAGAGCAACAAGAAGTTACTGTTATGGAGCTGGAGAGATGGCTCACCAGTTAAGAGCACTGGCTGCTGCAGAGGACTTGGGTTTGGTTCCCAGCATCTACATGATGGCTAACAACCATCCATAACTCCTGTTCAAGAGGACCCAGTCCCCTCTTCTGGCCTCTGTGGGCATTGCATGTACATGGTGCACTTACATACATGCAGGTAAGACATTCATACACATAAAAGTTAAAAAAAAGAAACCAGCTGGGCCTGGTGGTGCACGCCTTTAATCCCAGCACTTGGGAGGCAGAGGCAGGCGGATCTCTGTGAGTTCCAGGCCAGCCTGGTCTACATAGTGAGCTCCAGGTCAGCTGGGGCTACAGGGAGACCCTGTCTCAAAAAAAAAAAAAAAAAAAAAAAGAAGAAGAAGAAGAAGAAGAAAGAAACCACTCTTTGGAGATTGAATATAGAATTCCTGAAATATGAAGTCTAAGTGTAGGAGACAATAGCAGACAAAGGCACAGAAGTACGTACAAAAAAAACCTCAAGGCAGGCACAGGCGTGCAGGCCTGTCATCCCAGCTTTCAGGAGGCTGAGGTAAGATATTCGAAAGTTCAAGGCCAGCCTTGGCACTGCCTCAAAATGGAAAGGAAGGGTTAGGGAGCTGACTCAGCCAGTAAAGTGCTTGCCTTGCAAGCAGGAGGACCTGAGTTAGAGCCCTAGCGCCCATGTGAAATGCTGAACTGGAGAAGCACAGACAGGCAGATCCCTGGTTTCTGCCTCAAAAAGCAGGATGGACTGGTCCTGAAGAACAACACCCAAGGCCTTCTTTTACACATGCATACACACAGGAACCTGTACACACAGAAGCACACTTACACAGACACACCCACAAAAAAAAGTAACAGAGGACTGGGACGGAGAGTGGGGGTGAAAAAGAACAAAGCATAACAGATGTTTGAAAATGTCCAAAAAAGGGGAAGCTGGGCATAGACCACAGATGATAAGGATTTGCCTTTCATGCATGAAGCCCTGGCTTCCATTCCAAGAACCTCATAAAACCAGGTGTGGTGACACACACCTGTAATTCCACACTTGGCAGGTAGAGGCAGGAAGATCAGAGGTTCAGGGTCACTCTCAGCTACGTAGGGAGTGGGAGGATACATGAAACCTTGTTCACAGAGAGAGTGAGAGACTCTCGAACTACAACATGTTACTCATTGAGAAGCCACAGAACTCTGAGGATGAAGAGGTGACTCTGCCCTGAGAAGAAAAGTGTGCCGTCTGCAAAGAACTGGATGGAACGTAGGCCGAACTGGTGTTGTTCCTGTCAACAGCTCCTCGAATGAGACAGACTTTGGAGGCTTCAAGTTCATGGGAAAAATGCTTTAACAGCCCAGAACTGCATATCCAGCAACACAGTTGACCACGTGTGAAGGCAGAATAGACACATGCAGACTTGCAAAGACTCAAAAATCCAGTTCCCACAAACTGACTGCAGAGAATGTCGGGAGGACCTGTCCTAACCAGAGTCTGAGCAGAAAAGGAGGAAGGGTGACAGCACAGAACTCAGTGGGATCCATAGGTTCCAGGCTGGGAGCCAGGGAGCCGGGAGGCTGCAAAGTCAGATGACAGCAGGTGGGAAGGAAGAGGGAGACTGGGCTGTGGGAGGGACAGGCTGTAGATTTAGGGGATCAGAAGATTGTGAATGTGATAATGACACCCAATTGAAGAAAGATGGGGGCAGGGATCACAATCAGAAGTTCAGGACAAACAATAAAACTTTTTCTTGGGGATGGAGCGATGGCTAAGCAGTTAAGAGCACTGGCTACTCTTGCAGAGGACTCAGGTTTGGTTCCCAGCACTCACATGGTGGCTAACAACTATCTATAACTCCAGTTCCAGGGGCTCTGATGTCCTCATCTGGCCTCCACAGGCCTTGCATGCACATGGTGTACTTACATAGATGCAGCCAAAACACTCATATACATTAAAAAAAAATCTTAAAACATTTTCTTTTTAATATTTATTTTATTTGTTATTTTTATTTTATGTGTATGAGTGCATTGCCTGCATGTATGTGAGTGCACCTGTGTCATGCAATGCCCACGGAGGTCAGAAGAGGTTGTTGGAGTCCCCTGGAACTGGAGTTATGGATGGTCGTCAGCAGCCATGTGGGTGCTGGGAGTCGAACCCAAGTCCTCTGCGAAAACAGTCATTGCTTTTATCCCCTGAGTCATTTCTCTAGCCCCACAAAACATTTTCTTGAGACAGAGTCTCAGTGTGTAGCCCAGGCAGTCTTCAAACTTGCCATCCCACTGCCCTAGCCTTCCAAGTGCAGGATTGCAGGGATTACAGATAGGCAACACTATGCCCAGCTTAATAAAATCCTCTCTGAAGGACTCAATTCTAAGTGCCCTACCTTTTGGTAACACAATGACTTACAATTTACAAAGAAGCTGAAGCAGCTCAAGAAATCGGCCAAGGGAAGCAGGAACCCAGCATTCTCACCAGAAAACCCACAAGGCCACAACATTTTTTTGTTACTGGTTTTGGTTTTTGTGGTACCTGAGGTTAAACCTAGCATGTATACTAGCTAGGCAATGCTGTACCATTGAGCCACAAAACTAGTACCTTTGGGGCTTTTAAGCCAATAAAAGATTACAAAGGGACGACAAGCGAATTTTTATTAATTGTTTTTAGGGGCTAGAGAGATGGTTCAACAGTTGACAGCACTTGCTGCTCTTACAGAGGACCTGAGTTCAGTTCCCAGCACCTACATGGTGTCTCACAGCCATCCATCACTCTAGTTCCATATACATACATGCAGGCAAAACACTCATGCACAAAAATTTTTTAAATTTAAAAATATATTTTAAGCAATCCAAGCTGGGGATGGTGGTATACTTGTATAATCCCAGCACTTGGGTGGTAGAAGCAGGAGGGTCAAAGTTTAAGACCGGTCTCAGTGACATGAGACCCTGTCTCAACAACAAATTTGAATGAATCTGAGTTCACACATGGGAAGAAGTTCATAATCAAGGACCAGACAGGTTTAAACAGATAGCTTGGCCCTTCTGGGGATGCATCATGGACAAAGAGACGTTCCCAGGTACAGAGACCCAGAGCTTACACAGCATTACCAGACTGGCCTGGACACTGCTGTGATTCAGGGAGAATAGAACACAGACCTGACGACAGCATTTGCAGGTTTGCCCAAGAAAGGGTTGCAGACAAGCAAGATAGGTACCTCAAGAGAAAATAAGAAGAGGGAACAAATGAACCCAGAGCAGTGTACTGCTCCTACATGAATGTTGTTGACCATGATTTAGGCATTAAGGATTCTACAGCATATGCCAGGTTACCTAGACTGTTAAAAAAGGAGAGAAAAAGTCAGCAAAGTAGTAACACAGAAAAAGAACATGCTAATTAGCTAGGTGTGGTGGCACATACCTTTAATCCAACACAGAGGCGGCAGAGGCAGGTGAATTTCTGTGAGCCAGCCTGGTCTACAGTTTACATAACAAGTTCCAGGCCAGCCAAGACTATAAGACCCTGTCTCAAAAAAAAAAAAAAAAAAAAAAAAGAACATGCTAATTGTGGGCATTGAGAAAAGAATAATAACTTGAAAAATAGTAGAAGCATCTGGATGTGGTGGTGCACATCTGTAATTCAGTACATGAGAGGCGGAGGCAGCAGGGCAACTGCAAGATTGAGTCTAGACAGGGTGAGTTAGTAAGTTCCAGTCCAGCCTGGGCTACAGAGTGAGAAACTCTGTCCCACAAAGCACACACACACACACCTCAAAACCCATTTAGTGGTCTCTGAAGAAGTATCCCATTCTGCAGTGACAAGGACCAAGGAGTTCCTCCCTGTACCCAACTCTTCAGTTTTCCACAGCCTTAAACATAGATACAAATTTCACTGCAAGCCCAAGGGCACTGTGGGAGCTGTCATGGTGGGAGGACTATATGCCCCTCTTGTCTGGGACAGGTCAGAGAAGCTGAGTGTGTGTGGATACATAGGAGGACTGAGATCCCACAGGGTGGGGGTGACATGGACAGTGACATTCCCTGCAAAGGGTCCTTAAACTAAGGATACCTAGGTACTCCTTGCCAAGAGACAGGAGCTGAGAAGAAGCTCCTGTGGCTCCTCCCCCAATGTATTAGGCACACTGATAGCTGCTACCTAACCCAGTACCCCCCAACAACCATTTGAGGTAGTATCAACAGGAAGGCAAGTGAGGCTCAGAGGCCCAGGCCCAGCTGAGGGCATAGAGTTGCTGGCAGTAGAGCCTGGGCCAATTGTGACTTTACTTTTCAGGGACAGGAAGAAAGAGAGGACTTGGTACTGCCTGGGGTTGGGGTGGGCACTAGAAGGACCCTGACTGGATCCTGTATTTCTGGCTTGTCAGAACCATGGTATCTTCTATGAAGTAGGTCCTGAAGGGCAGGTCTGCGTAAAGGTCCCATGTATCCAGGGGAAAATGCACCAGCAAGCCAGGTGACAAGAAAATCTGTCTTGTGCTTTTCCCTCCTGAGTCAGTGTCCTATTATGGGAGCTGTCTCCACTGAGGTCTTGGGATCCCAGTATCTTATGCCTCCACCTAGCCCACACAGCAACACTCACTCATTACTTGGGTCCAGGACCATCTATGCTACCTAACCTGAAAGGGAATTGAAAGTGGTTACTCATTGAACACTGGGAGGTTGTAAACAGGAGGTTCTCCCTGTCTTAATCACCTGGACCAAAGGCCTCTGTCCTTCTTCCTGACAGGCTCAGCAGCTCGGTCTAGTCTCCAGACAGTGCTTTCTATGCACAGGCCAGCACAGAGGTGCCAAAGAAACTGGAAGCAGATCCCTGAGGGCTTTGTAATGTTGGAAATCTGGTGGTTCTGGCCCCTGGTGGCCATTTGTGCTGCGGACTCATTCCGGGAGAAGGCGGAGAAAATCATGCAGGACACACCTGTTATTGATGGGTGAGTGGTAACTGCAATAGTGTGGGTAGGAAGCTTCCACACCTTGGCTTGGGGCTCAGTTTCCCACTGTACTAAGGTCTTTGCCCTCTACTGGTCCTAGCTTCTTTGCAGAATCTCTCAGGACCTCTAAGGGTTCAGCAAAGGAGGGAGTTAGGGACAGGGCAGGAAGGAGGCAGTGGCCAGGCTCCCAAGGCTCCTGTAATTCAGAGTCTGGTTGGGTCTGGGGGATGCTGAGGACTCCCAGCTCTCAATATCCATGTGTCTGAGGGAAGAAGCCAAGTCCCCTACCTGGATCTCAGTTGAAAAACTAAGGGTGGCATTCCCCCAAGAAGGCCCTATTGGGCAGCTTTCTGGCTCTCCTCCCTCTCCTGCCCAGCCCAGAGCCAAATGGGCCCAATGCCTCCCTTATTCCTTCATGGGGCCCATAGTGTATGTGGAGGTGTTACACGTGCTCAGCCTAAACTCCCTGTTCCCTCTGACCTCACTAGAATGCTTGAAGGCCTCTTGCCAGCCCCTACCACCTGGTCCTCTCCTGGCCAAAGGATAATCACTCCACTTTCACTGTGACCTCCACCTCTACCCCTGCTGGCACAGGCACTCTCAAACTGGGAAGCCTCTAATGGGCCTCCTTCCAACACACCCTGACCTTCAAGACCTACACAATCTAGAATTGCAATTTGATCTAGACACACACAGAGGTGGCTGTGTTCCCTTAGGAAACAGGACCCCTGTTCTTCCGTTTTTGTCTTTCCATGAAGGGTGGAGAGAGAGATGAAGGAAAAGGAGAACAGAGTGGCTCTGAGTATGGCAATGGTGATGAATATCCTAGTCAGGCTATGTGTGTCCTCAGGCAAAGGATTGATGTCCCTTTCCTGGAGCCTGTCAAGCCCTGCCTCTGACAGCTGGGAGGGGTGCCCTGGCTGGCCCGCACCTGTTCATTCACCCACTCAGCAAGGGCATCTTGATGGATCCTGGCCAAGTATAGGGGGTAGAGGTACTAAAGGGGGCGACAGTCAGTCCAGGCCATTACTGGAGCTTCTGAGGGTGACATTCACACTGGCAGACTGAAGCTTGTACCCCTTTGCTGAGGGATGGGAGCGGCACCTGTCCCAGGGAGGAGCACGTTCTCTGTGTTTCCTAAAGGAGCTTCTTGGATTGACTGGCATTGGAAAAGTCATTACTAGAGGTGGATAGGGTCAAAGTGAAGGAAAACTGACAGTTATCCCACAGGTGACACAATAAACCTGAGTTAATTGTCATATAAGACTAGGTGTTGCTTCTATTTGTGATCCCAGAACTTGGGATCCTGAGGCAGGAGAATCACTGCAAGTATGAGGTCAGCCTGAATTATATAAGGTCAAGTCCAAGCTGAGCTAATAGAAAGAACTTATTTCAAAACTAAAACAAACAGGCTGGGCATGGTAGCATAAGCCTATAGTCCCAGCACTTGGAAGGCTGAGGCAGGAGAATAACAGAAAATTGGAGGCCAGTGTGAGCCACATAGTGTTTGAGGCCATCCAGGGCTATATAGAGGCCCTGTCTTAAAAGAAGTCAGCACCCCCCCCGGCAAAAATCCAACCAAATAAGATAAATACAGGAGAATAACAGAAAATTGGAGGCCAGTGTGAGCCACATAGTGTTTGAGGCCATCCAGGGCTATATAGAGGCCCTGTCTTAAAAGAAGTCAGCACCCCCCCCCGGCAAAAATCCAACCAAATAAGATAAATAATAATAATACGGTCGTGTGTTCCATGATGACCCTTGTACATGGGGCTGTGAAATGCCTCAGTGGGCCCCTATGATATTGCCTAGTGACTCACAGATGGTCACACAAGGATGAAATTGTCTAACAATGCATTCTTTAGGACAGATCTGCATGACTGTATTACTAGTTATTAATTTACCTTAACCATTTACACTCTGGGGAAGATACCAAGATACCCCCATGTTATAGATGAGGAAAGTCCAAGGGTTAGGGGACAACAGTTGGGGTTGGAGATGGAAAGTGACAGAGCAGGGAGCTAGGGAAGGGAGACTGTCTCTGCCCACCTGACAGGGACCCTGAGGCCCCAACTCAACACAGGCTGTAGCCACAAGACTGATGGTGTGCTGTAGGTGCCTCCTCGATCGTCCCAGGGGTGCAAATCAGCACAGTGCAGCTCTGTGACAAGGGTCCTGCTGTGCCTGAGTCTGTACTCTAATGACCTACCTCGGCTGCTCTTGGACTCAGTCTTCTGGGGTCCAAGGAGGAGTCGACCTTGAGATCTGCAGCAGTATAGACGTGGTGAAGTACCCTTGTACTGTGGCTCAGCTTCCAGGTCCTGGCCTTCTTTTTCCTCCATAAACAGACTGGCTCCTCTCCCTTGAGGCTTCTGGGAATTCAAAGGACCAGGGCCCTTTGGAGTCAGAGATGAGGTAGCCAAAGGCAAGCCAAGATTTTTCCCTAGGAACAGAGACAGACAGGAGCCTAATATGAGTGATACCTCGCTCCCAGGGAGAATGGAAGCTCGGCTACTCCCTACGTGTCCCAGCTCCCCCTGCAAGGGGTAAACATGTCAGATTCCTCTAGGGTTCCTGTACTGGTTCCCTGCTCCCAGCACCAGGTGATTTTTTTTCAGCAGAGTAGGGGTCTGCCCTCTCCTCTTCCACAGTGGAGGGCCATAGGAGGACCTACCTAGCTACACTCAGGTAATGGTCACCTAGGCTAGAGTGCAGATGGGACATTCACTTCTGTGCAGATGTGTTTAAGTCACAAGTACACTTTACCTCTGAGGCCTCTGTGTTAGTTCTGAGCAGTGGAATTTTGAAGGGGAGAAGGGCAGCCTGCAGGCCAGTTGGCTCAGAAGCCTACAAGACCAAGCAGACTTCCTAACCCACCTTGGACCCTTCCCTGGATCCTCTCAGGCACAATGACCTGCCTTGGCAGCTGCTGAAGTTGTTCAACAACCAACTGCAAGACCAGAAAGCCAACTTGACCACACTGGCTGACACACACACCAACATCCCAAAGCTGAAGGCTGGCTTTGTGGGGGCCCAGGTATGTCTATATCTTCTTGTCTCTCACCTGCTCTGTACTGGGGTCTCCCCTACCTTCTCTGTGGAACTGGTTAGGTGTGGTCTTCCTTGGAGAAGCATACCTCCTGGAACCCTTCATCATGGACCTTGGAAGGGCACAGTTATCTGAGCCATCACCCAGAGCTTCCAAAATGGGCAAGAGACCAGAAACATGTATACCAGGGTGGGCCTGGGCTGTTGGTAATCTAGGCTGTCAGCTACTCTTCCTTGGCCCCTAGTTCTGGTCTGCATACATGCCCTGTGACACCCAGAACAAAGATGCTGTGAAGAGGACGCTGGAGCAGATGGATGTCATATATCGCATGTGCCAGCTATATCCTGAGACCTTCTTGTGTGTCACCAACACCTCAGGTGGTGTCTCACCAAGGCCCTAAAGTCCCCATGCCAGGCTTGATCTTAAGTAGGGAGTGGGACCTTGAATCCTGGATACCCAGTGCCACCCCCTCACCTTTGCTCTCTGTAGGCATCCAGCAGGCTTTCCAGGAAAAGAAAGTGGCCAGTCTGATTGGTGTGGAGGGTGGCCACTCCATTGACAGTAGCCTGGGTGTTTTGCGGGCACTCTACCATCTGGGAATGCGGTACATGACCCTCACCCATAACTGCAACACACCCTGGTAAGGGTCCCCACTGTGAGGACCTTTGTGTGGTCAGAAAAGGAAACTAAACATGACCTCTGTCATGCCTTGGGTACTGAGACCCAAGTCAGGCTTTGTCAGTTGGGCAGGTGAGGGTGGGCTGAGACCACTGCTTTGTTCCTTGGACACACGTGTTACTCTCCAGGGCTGACAACTGGCTAGTGGACAAAGGAGATGACAAGGCTCAGAGCCAAGGGTTATCGACCTTCGGCAAGGTGAGGAGGAAGAACCACAGTCTACAGAGGACAGGGCAGAGGGCCGGGAGAGTTTCAGTACAGTGTATCACACCTAAATGGACTTTAGTGTCCACCTCAGTCACATAGAACTAATAGTGCTTGTCTCCATGGTGGAACTTGCTGGAACCCTAAAGCATTCACAATGCTGAATCCTGGGTCACCTGCAACTTCCAGCCTCAAGGGTCAACCTTGTCTAGTGCTGCCCCTCCCATACCCCACACTTGAAATGTCTATGAGATATACTCAGCCCTGTCTCCTCCAGCGTGTCCTGAAGGAGATGAACCGTCTGGGTGTCATGATCGACTTAGCCCATGTGTCTGTGGCTACCATGAAGGCTGCTTTGCAGTCATCCAAAGCTCCAGTCATCTTCAGCCACTCCTCAGCCTATAGTGTGTGTTCAAGCAGGCGAAACGTTCCAGATGATGTGCTTCAGTTGGTGGTGAGTGATCAGGCATCAGGGAGTGGAGGGGAGTCCCCTGCCTCCTATGGGTCCTCCCCAACTCATCCCTGACCCCTCTCTGAGCAGAAGAACACAGGCAGTCTGGTGATGGTGAACTTCTACAATGATTTTGTGTCCTGCACAAAGGATGCCACCCTGGCCCAAGTGGCCGGTAAGTAGGTGGGACTGCACAGTGGCCAAGTAGGGGAGAGACTTGCTTAGGACCCATACCTTCCCCTCTCCACAGACCACCTGGACCACATCAAGAAGGTGGCAGGTGCTGAGGCAGTGGGCCTTGGAGGAGACTATGATGGTGTTTCTAGGTAAGGGTGAGACCATATCCTGTGATAAACTGGTGGCCGGGGTGAGTTATATGACCCCATCAACGGTCCTAAGGGCCCAGGATAGGGAAAGTGTGTCCTGAGCACAGTGTAGGATATCTTGTTGCAAGCCCAGGGAACATCCTGTCTGCAAAGCCTGTTCCTCTTGGCCTTGGTACAGGCTTCCTGTGGGGCTGGAGGATGTCTCTAAGTACCCAGATTTGATTGCGGAGCTGCTCAGGAGGAACTGGACAGACACAGAGGTCAAAGGCGTGTTGGCTGACAATCTGTTGCGGGTCTTCTTAGCAGTGGAACAGGTGAGGGTAGAGTGGCCATCTGAGTCTCCTGTCCCTCCCCATCCAAAAGGCAGTCTGCCAAACTTGTATCTGTCTCCAGGTAAGCAACAGAATGCAAGATCCTGAGGAGGAGCCTATCACCCTTGATGAGCTGGATGGCTCTTGCAGGACACAGTATGGATATTCAAGAGCCCCCGGCCTCCCTTATCAGCCAGGACCCCTGCTGGCTTCCATGGCTCTCCTATTATTCAGTTTATATCTGCTGTGACATCCTAGGAACCAGAACCTCCTTCAGTGCTCTCAAAGCTCAGGGAAGACTGGCCAAGCCAAGAGCCCCTGCTGTCCATGTATAAAATCCACCCTCTCCTGAACAGGCACCTGGCCCACCTGAGGACAGTGTTATATGATAAAAGTAATGACCCCCTAAGTACTGAATGTGTGTGTGTGCTGTCAGTTCCCCAGCCCTGGAGGGGTGAGGTGCTTCTGAGCATGTGGAAAGCAGATTCTGTGATAATGGACCCTGTGTGGACAGGGACATGGGAGTGCCTTGAGTTCTTGGGAGGGGAGGGACAGAGGAAACCCATATGTCTGAAAGAGGTCTTACATGGGCATTGTATTATAAAAAAAATTAAGATCCAGTTTCCAGTGGCCTCCTCCCAATGTTACTAGTGCATATAACACATGCATATGATATATCCACACATACTCATGAGCACACGGCCCACCTACATGCACACATGCATTCAGGTGCACACACACATACTTATTTGCACACAGCTCACACACATGTATACACATACTCAGGTGTATACCAACATCTAGTCTCATACATGAACATATGGACCCTGACACACAAGTCACATATGCACCCCTGTCCATTTGGGTTCTATAGAGCTGGGAAAGGACTCAGGAATCTGCATTTAGTCCAGCATTAGAAGTTTAGGGTCTGGATGGGGTAGGTGCCAGGACTCTCCAGGGCAACTTCACATAACTAACAGCAGGTCTTTTCAGACCCACAGGGACAGAAGCATTCTCTTATGTGTTCCCTAGCATGGTACTTTGTTAGTGGAAACAGGGCGATAATGAAGCCTTCCAATGAGCACATTCAAAGATGAGTTTCTGAATAATTTTGTGAGGGATAGCATGGAACAGTCTGTGCTGTGTGGCCAAGGACCCCTTTTCTGGTCCATGCTGTTGAGAATACTCCATCTGGACATGGGCAGAGATTGCTTTGTCCAATGCCTGGCCCCACCTCTGAGAAGAGTCCAAAAGGGTCCTGGGCTCAAGGGCTTTAGATGCACAGCCTCTCTGAAATAAGTGTCCTGCCTGCATGTGTTGAGCCCCATGGCCATATGTCTCTGTGCCTTTCCTGGAAGATGGGTAGACAGTAACCACAGCCCACAGGAGCTGAGCATAGGGCCATCCAGCTG